AGCAGATTGGTCTACTATGAAGCCACAAATTAGCCCTTCACCGGTATTGTAGGCGATAGTGTTTAGTTTACTGTCTATGAACTATTTACCGTAGCCGGTTTACGGGGGTGGTTGTAAATAATCATAAACGTAAACATTTATTACTGTTTATAAACAGTAGATAAACTAAATAGTTGGAGCCTTACAACCTGCTGCTCACGGGTTGTGACCAGTAAATTTGAACTTACTTAACCGTTACACAAGTGTACATGAAATAAATTTTAAAATGAGCGAAGATAATATTTCACAACCCAGTTCATACCGGAAATGTGACCCGTGATCTCAGTTCAAGACGGGATGTCAATGGGGCGCGTGACGGTGACGGTGACGTGAATAGGAGGTCGGTTGGCTACAGTACGTGCTACGTAGGAGTGTACATTGTAAAATGGGTCGTGTGTATTTTGAATATATATTATTCAGTTTCTTCAGTCGTTGTAGTTCGTAGATATCCACCTCAACCTCAAGCTTGCGTGACAATGATCCTCAGTCTCTGGGATTTTGCCGGTTCACGGGTGGTTATAGTGTTACTACACTGTGCTAGCTAGTACTACCTACGAACTGTTTTACTCTCGACCCTCATCGCACATACCACTAGAATTATTAAAAAGAAAACTATTGCATTTCAGTACTCACAGGATAGAATTTGATTTATCATGACGATACAGTGTTCAAAGACGCATCCGATAAATTACATATACGAGACGGCTACTCTACTTGTGTTGTGAGATGGGAGAGGGGGGCCCAAGCCATGCTCGAACGAGCACGAAGAACGCTACAAGGAGGAAAATCACAAGGAAAATAAGAAGTCCACTGAATCTGTACCAGTATAACTCTGCGAGCTGCTCGAGATATTTTATCATTACCTTGCCCGTCAGTTTCGACTCGCCCTCAGCTCGGACGCCGAAGGAGAACGGAACCTCCGCGATGGCGTCTGGCTGGATGTGAGCCTTGATCAGAAGGTCCAAAGCGATTTTGAATCCCTGGGAGTTCAGATTTCGCGCTTTCAGGAACTGCAAGTATCGCCTGAGTGACAGCGACGGACGACAAAAATATGCGAGGCTTACAGCTTCCTTTCTAACTCCAAAGAAACCAGACATAGGGTCGCTGGCCGTCGTCAAGGGAAGCGCAAGCAATCGTGCACCTGCAGAGATGATACGACGATGTACCGGCCAATCCTTGTCCATCTCCACACCCTTGCCGTAGCGAGTGCCCAGCACAAAGGTGTGATGCGGAGTGAGCGCAGCCAACATAGTTGGCACGTATTCAGGAGGGTGCTAAACACAGACGGTCACCCAGCGTACAACCCCAAACGACGAGTCTCGTACCTGCAAGTCCGCGTCCATGCACAGCATGCTGTCGCCAGCAGCCTCCTGGAAACCTCTGACCACTGCACTGCTCAATCCGCGCTCCGTGGTCCTAACAATGATGCGGACATTGTAGCCCTCCTGCTGGAGGGCTTGGACAGTCTCTGCAGAGCCGTCCCTGGAGTTGTCATCCACAATGATAACTTCGGTCTGCTCTGCAGGTACCGGGGAGTCGATGCGCTTCAGGGCGGTAAAGATGCGCGTAACCAGTGGGCGGATATTGCCGTTCTCCCTGAAAGCGGGGACGATAACGGAGTACTGGATGTAGGGACTTGATGCCATTCTGGCAGAGCTTTGATATAAAAGAGTGGCGGGGTGAGGGTGAGATACAGAGGAAGGGAAGGGGAGTGGTATATAACGACGTGGCACCAAAAGCAAGAGGGGGGCGAAACTCTAGCGCCCTACACTGACCGCCAGAGTTCGCCGGTAGGGGGGTAGCTAAATTTTTTAACTTTATTTTCCTGGTCCGTAATAATTTGGACTTTAGGTTAAATACTCATCAGCCAAAACTTTGGTTTTTGGTCCTTA